TACACTTCGTGGATGTATTTGGAGCGTTACTTGACAGTTACAAGAGTTTAATTGAAATTTGTAAAGGGGGTATACCGGGTGGCGCACCATTAATATTCAACATAATTTTGTTGACCCTCGATGGATTTCAAAATTTTTTGCTTTGTTTTGTGGGCAATTCAATTCTAAAACTTTTCTTACTCCAGTAATTTTTTCGAAAAACCTCATCATTTTCATCAAAAACTCGAATAACTGAAAACGCGCGCTCTAGTAGGTGTGTTATATATTTAAAATCATCGAAAATTCAAAAGTTGGCAATGAAAATGAACGTCAAACTTGACAATGAGGCAAGAGAGTTGTTCAATTAAGTAATTGTTGTTTGACTGTTTTTAAAATGAACGGGAAGTTTTCTTTTAACGAGCGAGTTGACATGCTGTTAGTGCTATGCCTATAACTCCTTAATAGGGAAGTAACTTGGTATAGAGGTAAGTTGCGTTAAATTGCCATATTTTGGGACCCCCTACATGCCCCTGCCCTATGTCGGTTGTTATGTGAATCACCCTGTATATGAGATTTGGCAAAAACATTATTTGGTCATAACTTCCCAACAGCTTCTTCGAATCGTCTGATTTTTCATGGAATATTTCGCTACAACTCTCTGATCGACTGACTTATTCAGAATTGAGAAAAATCAGGACCGTTCTTGAAACATTTTGATAGTTTGGTTTATAGCAAAAAGTTCATCCTGTATCTCATTTTTTTAAATTGTGACAGGGCATTTCCAAAGGTAACAAACAAATTTCGAAGATGGAATATTCCAAATTTTGGCTCACACTTCCACTGTAGTTTGAAAAAAAAATTTTATGAAAGAACAAACAGTCGACAAAAAATTTATTCATTTGAAAATTAATACTTCACAACCCATTAATTTCACGAATGAAAATATTATTTAAAATTTCAATGCTTCAGTTCAATGAAAATCAACATATTTTTTTATTTTCAGGCCTGGATTTAGCAATTCATTTTTTTTTTGTGAAGGAATAATCAATCTGTAAATCTATTCGGAATCAGTATCAGTATCACAGTTTCAGTTCCGCTATGGTTATAGAGGCTCAGTTTTTTTTCTTGGATAGTCAAAGGTGCAATCGAATGGATTCTAATATTTTTACATGAAATAATTTATAAAAACCTGTAAAGTAGTGCGTTTTTGACCAATTTTGTGAATTTTTTTTCTACGTTATGGAATCAAAAATTCCCTGTCACAGTTGACAAAAATTATATACAGGATGAACTTTTTGATAAAAACTGAACTATCGAAATTTTTCATAAACGGTCCTCATTTTTCTCGATTCTGGAAATATCAGTCGATTAGTCCTCATGACTCACCCTGTATATGATATTTTAGTATCGGATTTGGTACCTGAAAAAATTGCAATTTGTTCAAGCATATTGAATTTTTCTCCGAATAGGTATTATAGTACCTACTGCTACAGTCTGTGAATATTTTTTTTTCACCGGTATTGATCTGCTATATGTATACATCTCTTTTTTTTTTTGGAAATATGGTTTTGCCTGCAGCTATATTTATACAAATTGCTGTATCTTGCATCAGTTGGGAGGTACATAAACACTGAACCATCATTAGTTTCTTTCGGTTTTTATTAAGGCTTGATACAAAAAACACTGTGGTCAGGTGACTATAATACGTAGAATTTCAAAAACTAAATTATAGTGGTATGCATAAGCATAATTCACGGTAAATGCTGGAATATTTTTATTGCAGCCAAATAACTGTAAAATACTCTAAAACGGAAGTAGATTCGTTCCCCAAAACGTCCAAAGATGAGTTAAATTTGATATTATTTGATATACCAATATTCTTCTCATCCAAACATTTTTCGAATAAGGTGTTACTGACTAGAATTAAATATCTCTTCAAGGTAACATATTGGCGTGAATCATCTGATTTGTCGTCACTATAGGTATAGTTATTCAGATAATACCACTGATTGCATAACCCGAAAATTCAGATAACCGCATTCCTGTCCAAGCTGGCAAATACTCAATGTTTCCTTTTGGATGACCTTCATACTATCCCACTTTCAAAATCATCGTGTTATTTGTATATGATTATTATAGGTCAAACAAAGAGATCCATCAGCACAAGGATCGAAGAACATCTTACACGTTAGAAGTATGGCCAATTGGATGAAGAATAACAAGTCGTAATTTTTATTCAGGTGTAGATGAAAATCAATATAGAACAAGAGTTTTATGATAGAGTATAATCCGGAAAATTTAGGCTAGCACATATTTGGATTCGGTATCTAATATACTTAAAAAAAATTTCGAAACATTGTGCAATTTATCAAAGCAGAAAGCTCTTCAAAATGGTCAGATCGAATCACATGGGGGTGCGATTTTAAAACCCAAGTTAGGGGTGGTTTCCAGTAGAACTTTTGATATAAAATTGATTCAAGTTCATTATTTTGAAAGGTTTCTGCTTCCAATAGGTTCCACTATTTAAAAAATTTTTTGTATGTTAGATATCCTGCAGATATCTGCTGTTCTGAATGCTCTGGGACACCCAGTATACGGTAAAAAAATCATATTGAGGTTAGCTTTCTGTTAAAAAAGTAATGCACAATTAGTTTCATCAAGTACTTGAATTTTGTTGAATCTCAGTCAACATTGTGGATATGATTTCTCATCCAATTTTCATACTTCTGAGACAATTTCACATTTTCTATCAATATAGTTCAAAAGGTAGCTATAAAGTTGAGTGGACCTAGAGTTGGAATCAACTCAATAACTATTACCGTGTACAGGGTGCGAATCTTAAAATGGAACCCTCACTTAACTCTTTTGTTTTCAGAAATGTGAAATAATTTCGAATGAAAAAGTTGTTTGAAACGACTCAAACTTTCATTTCGTGAAGCTGCTTCATATACAGGGTCATTCGTTTATCCGGAATGGACACTCTCTTCGATTTTTTCAATGGAACACCCCATATTATATCTGACATGTCGATAAAGCCTCCTTTTTGGATTTCGTAAATATATATGAGTTGCATATTTCGATGAAAAATAATGGAGTTATTGATTATCAGAGTTTACCAAAATATTGAATCTTCCATTGAAACCGTCTATTCTTATTTTTTTTTGTATTGAGATTGAATGATTCCAATTTCATAATGAACAATACTATGACATATCCATGGAGCTTGAACAATATACAGTGTGACCCACTTCTATTGGAAACACCGCTGCCACCATGTAATATTATGGACAAATGAGTCGAATGCTAGTTCTGGTTGAATTCTATAATATCCAAAATTTTTCATTCATTTACCAAGCACAATTTCCTGACAAGTCTGTCAAACAATAATAAAACGAATAGACCCCTCATGATTCAATGGTAACTAAACTTATAACTAAATGTACAGGATGATATACAGTGTGACCCACTTCTAATGGAAACACCTCTGTATCTTACGTAATCGTTGGGTAGGGATCCTGAAATTTGCTGGAGCGAGAGATTCACCAAACATGCACTCTATGACCAAGTGGGGTCATCTTCAGTAATATACACTGCTCGCCAACAGCCATGGAACCACCTCAATTCCCAGAAAACGATATTAGGGGTGAAAATAGGTTGAAAATCACTTCGGATTCGGAATCGGGACGCCCAATTCACTAACTATTCATCGTTTTCTTAGAAAATGTTCACTTCAAAAAAATTTAATTTTGTGTCACTTCTCATGGAAGCACTCCCGTATCTCATGTTATTATTGGGGAAAGGTTCTGAAATGTGCAGAAGAAAGGGAAAGTTCAAAGATAAAGTCAATTACGTAAGATATGGTAGTGCTTCCGTGACAATCAAATTTTTCAGTACTGAAAATTTTCCAGGAAAAATATGGATAGTTGGAGAATCGGGCATCCTGATCCCGAATCTGAAGTGATTTTCGACCTACTTTGACTGCTAATATCATTTTCCGGAAATTGGGGTGGTTCCATGGCTGTTGGCGAGCAGTGTATATCACTGGAGATGACCCCACTTGGTCATAGAGTGCATTTTTGGTGATTTTTTCGCTCCAGCAAATTTCAGGATCCCTACCCAACGATTACGTGAGATACAGGGGTGTTTCCATTAGAAGTGGGTCACACTGTATATCATCCTGTACATTTATTCGAAATAAGTTTAGTAACCATTGAATCATGAGGGGTCTATTCGTTTTATCATCGTTTGACAGACTCGTCAGGAAATTGTGCTAGGTAAATGGATGATGAATTTTGGAGATTGAAGAATTCAACCAGAACTAGCATTCGAATTCGACTCATTTGTCCATTATATTACATGGTGGCAGCGGTGTTTCCATTATAAGTGGGTCATACTGTATGAACGTTATTCCAAAGCCCACTTTATTCAACTTACATTAGATGATATGAAGTGGAGGTTCATAATGCGGCATTTCGGTAAATTTTGATCATTATTAACTCAACTATTTTTCATCCAAATATACAACTGATATATACATTTTTGAAATCAGAGGAAAAGGCTCTATCGACATGTCGTAAACTATATAAAGGGTGATCTGTTGAAAAAATCAAAGTTGATGTCCTTTCTGGAAAAACGAATGACCCTGTATATGAAACAACTTCACGAAATGACCCAGCTATTTCATTCAACATTTCTTCATATCTCTGAAAACGAAAGAGACTGAAAGAATTAAGGGATGATTCCATTTTAAGAAGCGCACCCTGTACGAAACACGTTCCAATGCACTAAAAAATCTAAAAAATCTTGAAGTGTACTTAGTGCGAGACTTCAAAGTAAGTGTCTGAGTTTCTTCTAACTATGCGTCTGAATATAAAGATTCTTGAATGAATTTTCATGGTATTCCGAGACAAATTGAAATTTCCACGGTACCTAGGAGGTCCAAGCCAACATATTTCAAACGAAATTGCCAATTCATTGTGCCCATGAGAAACTCAGACCATGAAATCGATTGAAATGCTCACCCAAAATTCCATCTATAGAGTGATTTTTGCGTTCCGGGTCATCTTTTCGGCCACCTCTGATCAGTCTGCTGATCGAACTGACAGAAGGAGCTGAGTTTTTGTCGCAAATTCCATCCTGAAAACAAATCAAATCAATTATTAAAAATTAGTAAATACTGAAAAGGAATATTCTCAGATAAATTATGGACATACAAAAATGGATATGGATATGGAATTTATATGAAGCAATACATTGAGAATTCGCATTCTCTATGTGATGATGAGAATACAGAAATATAACTTACCAATATATTCAGCATTGAAATGAAAATTCGAATGTATAGGAGAAGTATACTATATCATTATACATCATATTATTCATCCAATTTGAAGAAGAATGTCAATTCTCAATTTCTGAGGATTTTATTTTTTATTTTTCATGATATCCATTCGAATGTTCATCAGATATAATTCAATGTTCGACGTGGCAAATAGCCAGGAAAGTAGTTGTTTTCTGTTGAATATTCAGAATGATGTGTGCATATACATATTTTTGTCTGAAGGAGAATGCAAATTCTCAATTTCAGAAGTTTTTATATTTTATTTTCAAACTCTTATCGTGTGTATTCAATATATATATATATATAATTCAATGTTCGTCGTGGCATATAGCCAGGAGAGTAGTTGTTCTCCATTGAAAACAAGGTGGGTCACAAAAATAACCCAGTTCGATAATGAAGGGGTATTAGAATTACTCAGTATTACGAAGATTAAGAATTTCGAGATTCTGAGAAAAAAGTTTGAATTCCGAGATGACACAATAGCTGGAATTTATAATTTATATAGACCCGAAAAACTCGTGGCACACTCCCATGAAAATCGCAGAGGTTTTGAGTATACTGACAATAATTAATCTCTAATGACAAATGGTGCCCTTGGGGTATCTATTTTATGTCTATTGAAGGTCAAATGGAACTAAAAAAGCCACAGATGCATCACCATCAATAGATATCCAATATATGTCTACTGATTACATGTTATAACGATAAATGATGGCCGTACAGGGAGATATAAAGAAATACATGAAACCGGTCTCAGGGACATGTTTTATTGATTTTCAAAACAGCCTGTGAACAAATCAACTTTTGATACAAAAATAAATATTGTTTGGTTGACTTAATTTAACAAGAATTATATGAATTCAAAACATAAACAGAAAACAAAAATATGAAAATTTGTTTGGTGTACATGATTTAGGCATACTACAAAAACAAAAAAGTGAATAGTTAGAATATTTATATATCACACATTGAAATAATGAACAGAGAAGAGGATACTGACCAACATCCATTGACTGATAAGGTGATGTTGTTCAAACTTGTGGATCTATAGTTTGAGATTTATGCTTTACGACCCATCGAGTAATTTAGTTTTCAATTTCGATTTAATGTTTGTCAATGACATCTCTCCAATTTCCAAATACTTTGCATTCGTTATTGGGGAATGGGCTTTTGAAGCGAGACGTTGAGTGTGGGCGAATTGTTAGAATATCCTTCCTCCTGATATTCAGGTTATGAATATCACTCCTGAATCTTAATTTTCTATATAGATAGGCTGGTGTTTCATGTTTGATGACTTTCAAATACAATATACTAATATGTAGAAATCGCCTTTCCGAACAGTCAGCCACTTCAACTCTGCTCATTTGTTGGATACTCTATGACGTCGCCTCAAATTATGAACCAATATAACACATGCATTTTGAATTCATTGCAAACGTTGACTACTATGTTCAGTGATACATGGACCTTATATCGCGTCACAGAAGTCCATATGCGAAAATACTAAGGATTCACATAAAACTTTCTTTGATCTGTGGTCAAGTATATGTCTTCAGTTTTATATTACAAAAAAATCTTTTTTATTTGATTAACATGTATTTCAAATCTCAAATTGTCATACAGGTATAAAGCTAAGTTAGCTTAGCACAAGAAAGTAGACTTAGAGATTCGGTGTCTATCTCAATGTCAACAAGATGTTTGTATTTCTCCCTAGCACACTTTCGGCCAAATAGCATTACTTGAGACTTCGTGGGATTCATTTCCAAGCAGTATTTTCGAGACATTTGGCACAGTGCTCGTAGATCATCATTTATTAGGTTATTACTCGCTAGAATATTGGCAGGTCAAAAATAGAAGGATATTGAGTATAATCTGCATAAAAATGACTCTCACAATTGATCAGACATTCTCGAAATGTTGATGTATAGATTGAAAATAAAAGTGGACCTAAAATAGATCCCTGGGGAACACCACTTGTAATTGCTTTGGACTCAGATACATTTTTCTTCTACTCAATTGATTGGCTTCTTCATCATTGCTATTGCATTCTCATGAAACCCTATATGTTGCAATGTTGCCAGCAGTAATCGATGGTTAGTTATGTCGAAGGCTTTACTATAGTCAATAAGGGCAAGCACCGTCATCAGTAGATTTTTATCTATATTTCTGATGCAATGAAACAAAATTCGCGTTTTATGATACTGACCTTGATGAGTTTGTCCCTGATTTCCCAAGAGAAAATCCCAGGCTGATCTTTTTTCCACATCTCGATCCGACTCTCCACTTCCTGGGTAGCAACTCTAGGCTTAGAGCCTCCAATCACACCGGGCCTGATGCTTCCGGTTTCCTGATACCGGTTCAGGATTTTCGAGACGCAGCCGTGAGACACTCTGAGCTGCCTGGATATCACACAGGGTCTTATTCCGGCGGCTGCCATTTCCACGATTTTCAGTCGGATGTGATTGGGCAGAGGCCTGCCATTGATGAAAACGCCGCCTAGTTGGTTTACTCTACCTTGGCCTGAAAAAAACAAGGAGAAATTATGAGACAGACAGAAATAACTATTGGGTCGATTTCATGTAATAATTACTAGTTTCGGATACGTTATGAACACGTTGTTACTATTCATTATTCTAGATTTTCTTTCCTGGTCTCTATAAAAGAAAAAAATGTATACTATCTCAATATACGTGTAGTTAGGACAAATCAGATGATCTGCCTCAGAATGTTACCGAGTTTAAAGAATTTTCCTATCAGAGAGCCTGGAAGAAAAATTCACTAGCTTGACAGTGACAATTTGTATTTAGAATATCAAATTTTCACGGGAACTAATCTGCTCCCGTTTTCAACATAAAAAGTGAATTTTTTGTATGGCAAATTCGTATTTGTCCTGACACTTTTCAATTCTCAGTGACAATTGGTGACGCTGGCAATCAAATGAGTTACAGGATGTTTTCATTAATTAATCTAGAATCTACCATTTTTATTTTCATGGTATTGACTACTGAAATCTTAAACAAGAAGAGGAGGAGAGTGGAATCTTCAAGCAGTGTAGAAGAAAATTCAGAAATCGATCTAGAAGGTGATGAATGTGGAAGTGAAGACTTCGATGAAAATTTGTGCATATGATGTGGAGAAGATTATGAGCAAACTAAAAGAAAAGATGACTGGATAAAATGTGTGAGTTGCTTGCGGTGGTTGCATGAAAACTGTATGGCGGCTTCTGCCAGACGTGTGGAAAACTTGATAATGAGTCGAAAAAATCCAACAAGAATTGATATCATCTGTTTATTTGTCTCAGATACCATATGGGCCATCACTCCCGGATGACTCGGGAGAGATGACCATACCACGCATTCTCAAGAACCGTCTATTACACTCATATTCTTTCATCATTCCCAATTTTATTGACGCCACATTGTATAAGTGTACAGATGTTTCCACTAGAGCAATAAATATCTTTCGAAAATCAAATCCTATGATGTTTTCCAGAACGATATGAAAACTATGGACATCTACCCCGAAATTACTTTTATCAATGCAAATCAATCACGCAAATTAATTGATACTCTTCCCGAAAAATATTAACAATAGTCAGTTCATCAATAAATGTGACGATTTCGTCTCTAAATTCAAGATGCGCCTACAAAATATAGCTTTGTTCAAGAACAATGAAAACGATACATGGATTTATATATAATTGGCTTCTTTCAAGAATTCATTGTGAATCAATAATGACTCGTCAGTTGAGGTTACCAAAGTGTAACAGACAAGAACTGAAGTTCTCTAACCAAAAGTATGAAATTCACTCATAGGGAATAATAAAAGTAAAAAAAGCCGATATCATACTCTAAATATGGCTAAAAAATCACCCAATTGATAAGTAGGTGATAAATAAAGTAGGGACTACGTCGTATAAACCTCTAAGTTGTTACTCACAAATAAATGCTACAGTCACGATCTCTTGGGTAGGTAAGAGTTACAAAAAAAGTATATTAAGTTGCGAAAATTGATAAGCAATTTTGAAAGGTTGTGGGTTTGTAATAATCACTTTCTGAAACACCATTGAGGTTCCATCTCATCTTGCTTGAACAGCACCACCATATTACAATTATCTCGTAATAGTTGCTTAGGTATTTGAGAGTAAGTTTGGGAAACTTAGGCAACATCGATATCTTTGTGTCTGAACAATGAGAAATATTCATACTTTGGATTTATTATTCAGAGTAAAAACTACCTAGATTTCACTCACTGAATGACTATCACACAAAATTACGAAACAATATCACTGGATTTAGGTCTACAGCATTATAGTGTATATGTGACTGAAAATGCTAGTTTCCTAGTTTCGCAGTTGTTCTATAAAACAATTACAACGACTTTCTGAGTAAATACACTAACGTTGAAATAACGTAGTGAAATTACCACAACGTTAGGATCAAACTATATTTCATGGGAACGTTTAATCATGCAATGTCGCTGTAACATACACGATATTTTTAGTCAGTAGGTAAGTACTCAATATAAGGGCTTTTCCGATAATTACCTTCAACGATACTTACTTATATCAGATTTGTTCAAGGTGTATGTCAGGTTTTTAAAATAAGAAAAATATTTCAAAATTTCCAAAATTTCGAAATATCCACCGATGTTATTCCAAATTTGCCACGGTCCATTCCGGTAGTTTTCATCGTTATATCCAACTTATTTTGGTTCGTTGCGTTATATTTTCACCTGATTTTTTCCACGTTTAATTCGAGTAGTTTTCAACCTCATCTGTAATAATTCCATTCGTTACGTTCTTCGACAAGAAGTTATAATATAAAGAAAATAAAACGAATTACTAACGTATTGAATACTTGGTTATTTTCAACGTTATTCGCCACATACTTTTACCGACTTTATATATGCAATATCCATCATGACCGACTAACTGAAGTTCAACAATCGATAGATCAGATGAGAATTAAAAAGAAATTTCTGTAGGTAGGTATATTGTTGGTATATATGGTATAATAAAATAGCAGTCAGTTTATATTGTGAAAAACAGATTGGGCGTTAAATCTTGTGATGGCGCTTGAACGAACGTTCAAATACCGTGAAGAGAGACCACCAAGGCATGTTTATAAAAAAATTATTACTATTCATGCTAAGTTGCCTGGAAGATAGGTATGTACCATGCCTTTATGCATAGTTAAGTAAATATGTTTGAGTCTAGTGATCTATAGTGTTCGATAGAGATCACCCATTCAATGGCATACTATTGGGGATGTTTATCCAATTTTTGGAGTACAATGGGATCAGTGGCGAATAATAGAGTTTAAACGGTTGGTCATTTTGAGGTCTATATTATTGTATCGAATGAAACTCTGACAAAACGAAGACCATATTCATTTCATACATTCAGTATGATGCAAATGTATGGAATAAATTCATTATTTCAGAAATGGGCGACATTTGAAGAAAATTCATAAACACGTGAGTTTTTTAATTTCTGAAGCCTCATCTCATGATATTCATATGAGAGATGTTACGTCACCGGTGTTGGAGTAAAGACGTAATGGACGATTTTTTCAAATACATATAGGGGTCATGTGACACCTTAATTGAAAGGTCTACTGATCGTCTATCCAACAGTCAAAATGTTGCATAAGAAGATTGAAATTAAAATGGATTATCATGTGATTAATTGAATCTTGCAGAGGTCTGCTACTAAGAATTGAACATCGAAGGGTCGTCTAGTTAAAAAAATACGTCGAAAAAAAAGTTCTAAACTCTAGTTTTTTTTTTTTTTTCGAAATTCGTCTTGTTTTGAAATGAATTTATTCCATACATTCGCATCATACTGTATATACTTGCCGACACATAAATCTATACAAGATGAAAGACAATAATCGAAATGAATAAAACATATAGTTTGCTCAGGATATTTTAATGATGGTTATTCCCATAAAGAGTAGGTAAGTATATTATTTCATAATCTGATGAGATGAATAACTTCTGAATGACTGCAATGATTTTGATTATGTTATTGAATTAAATATACAGGGTGGCATTGAAATAAGTGCAAATATTTCATCGTTTCATGTGAAATAGAAAACCGAGGGAAACTACGATTGGTTGAGGTTAATTTGGAACTGTTTGTCATGACTATGCAAAAGACATTTGACTGACATTAATGAAAGATGACAAGAATGACATGGAACAATTATAGAATCATATGTCAGGTAAGAGTTTTCTTCTTCTTTTTTGTTGTTCTTTCAACATTGACAACACACAGTGTTTTATAAATTTTGGCAGATGTGAATGCAGTATTGAAAAATTGGAAAATATTTTTTTTAAATTAGTGGACTTGTGGTTATAGAATAGTCTGATAGATACTGCTTAGATTGCTAATGTCTGTTCTGTCGTTCATCGAGTTAATGTCTTTTTCAATATATATCATTTCTTTAATGCATCTTTTGTAGTAGTTACTTCAATAATCAAGAATTTTTACATTGTTAAAGGAAGTGGTATGGTCATTATCCATTAAATGTTTAGTGTTATGGGATTTATGACATGTATCTATGTTAAATTTTGATAGAATGTGTGAAATCTTATGTGATAAGCCATCAGTGTATGGAATTTGTGGTTATATATGTTTTTTGTTTGCCATTTTTACTTCTTGAATTTTTTTCATTCGTTTTTCACGAGGTTTTTCATTCGTTAATAGCTGATGGTGAAGAATATAGATTCAGAATGTATACGTCACAGTTTGCTGCCCCGAAAATTAGAAAATGCTTCAATTTGAAAATAAAAAGGACTTGGAATTTATCGGTCGTCATTCTGTACAGCGTGGACATGGAACTGGAGAGTTCCGAACTTATTTTATAAAAATTCATCTGAAAGAAACTTCCCCATTTGTAGATCAGTGATTTTGCTGAAATATTTTTATTCATTTCATAGATATTGTTTAAACTCCAAATGGACCGTCACCGCGCGGAGTATGTTTTTTGTCGGTTCTGCTCAAATTGAATTTTGAAAGACTATATATACACCTTGTCAATGGTTCTGATATTATGTTTTTCTCTTCTTGTCGTAAGTGTCAAAAAAGACGTGTTGATCAAAGAGAAAATGTAGTCATAATGTAATACAGTTGGGGCCCAAATTGAGAAATTAATGAAACTTTCAGTTCCAGGTAGCTCTATTGTTGGGAAGAATTAGGGCCTAAGAATCGGTGTTATGTGTCACTTCTCCAAAAGAACGAATAAAACACCGATTTTATTACGAAAACGTTCGAGAAGAAGAATGTTCTATCCCAGAGCGTCATTTTTTATTTCTTGTCAGTTCAAAACTAATATGAAATATAATAAGGTAAGTAGGGAGCGGCAAATCTTGAAACCAGTGAGATTGGTTCACTTTTTTTGGCCATATTACTAGAAAATGATATTCGATCCAACATTGCGACGATGATAATAATAATAAATCAGAGGTTCAACACGCGAAGTCTGAATAGGAGATATAAGGTAAGTGTAGCAAGT